CATACTTCTCACGCCTACGAGCTTACGAAGCTCTGTTTAATTATACTATCTTACTTCTTACTATAATAATATTATAAATGCGTATGTTTGGATGTTTGTTAAAAGGTAACTTTGAAACGGGTCAATAGATCTTGATGAACATGTACAGATGTAGAAGATATTCCTGAAGAACACATAGGCTACTTATGAACACGGTAATATGTACGGTTACCGTGGGATACGCTTAATTTATACTAACGCGAAAACGTCGCAATTGTTCAACACATCTTGTTGAAATATGGCACAGATATAATGAATGATATTTTCACCTTTTTTTATTGTACCCAGACGACGTTGCGGGTAAAAGCTAGTACTTTTTATTACTTGCTTACTGTTTCATTGTCGGTTTTTATAATTGATTTTTATACCTTACATGGTCAAGTTGAATCGGCCCAAATTTGATAATATGGACTCAATTAGCACAATTAGAAAACCATTGGGCCGATTGACTCCTTTTCATCCGATTGTATCCATATATTTCAAATAAATCTTTTCGGCAAAGTCGTCTTCGTTGTATGAAACCAATCGGCCCAATAGGTCAATCGATAGACCGATCGGCCCAATGGGAAACAGTCAAACCAACCAACAAATACTAAGAACAGTAACAAAGGGACCGCTTCGCGGCTTAAAACAAATGGATATTTAGTTATTCTTTTTAATAATTACAGACGTTCTGTTTAAATCAACGGCCAGTATTACTACTGTTATATTTTATTAGATTTTATATATATCTAGCAAAGCAAATGTAACTTTATAACAATGGAAGAAAGGTTATTTTGCATTACGTGTTTCCTACACGTGTTTGTCAAAATGATTCATTTCTTTCTCATTTATATGTTAGATACGTTTTAAATGAAAAACTAAACATTGACTCCTAGAGTAGATACGTGAATAGTATAATAATTATGTTACTGTTCAGATATGAATTTGGACATTTTTTAAATCAACATTACTTTCGTGAGACGTTGTTATTATAGTGGTCTGAATGCATGCTCCATTCTTTTTTTATATATTAATAAGATGTCGATTTATCATGTAAAAGTAAATAGTCTTACTATCGTACTAATATTATAAATGCGAATGTTTAGATGGATGGATGTTTAAAAGTATTTCTAGAACGGGTGAACGGATCTCGATGAAATTTGGTATACATATAGAATTTAATATGGAAGAACACATAGGCTACTAATTATGTTTTTTTTTATCCTCGCAGACGGAGTCGCAGATGAAATCTATATTTATATAAAAGTTAGTTCTATGATTTTAATATTTACAAGAAAATCAAAATAAAAAAAACTATGTTCTAGTATTTGCTGTCATTATTTCCTTACCAGAAACGTTAATAAAATTAATTTTAATTAAATTATTAGAATGAAAAATTCTTAATGTGGCAACCCTATTTTCAATGAATCACACAAACACCGTAGTATGCGGTGACCTACACACTTCCTTTGTAACAAAGTCTATTTTAAAACAATGATTGAAGGACGATCGTGCTTAGCCTAAATCATAGACAATTCAATAGACAAATATACTGTTTTTATTGTTTATACCATATATTACTATTTAGTAGAGCCAGTGATCGAGAAATTGAGGAGTAAAAGATTGACGTGGTTTGGACATGTTATGCGGAGGGATGATGATATAAGCAAAAAAGTAATGAGATTGATGGATGATGTGGATGGCTACAAAAGTAGAGGAAGACTATTTTAACAGTGGTAGAGCCCGCTTTAACATCTTCGCACGAATTGGCCCGGTTCGCCCGGTGAAATACCACGACCACACAGAAGACAGGCGTGAAGTGGAAGCTATTCCGCGTTTTGTCTGATGAGTGTGCGTCCCGGAGGCCTAATTTAGTCCTTTTTGCCTTCTCACCCTTTTCTTTTAAGGATAGGATGGTAAGTGAAAGTAGACTTTCCGGATGAGGATGCATGGGAAGGGAAGATATTTTCTTTTTGTGCATCCTCTCCTCCGTCGATTAAAGGTAAGCAACGCATATGCACTTGCGTATGTCTATGGGCAACGGTCACTTCGCTATTTCAGCGATTTCAGGTGACCGCTCGCTCGTTTGCCACCTTATGATATAATATTATAAAAAAAAGACCAAAAAAGTGTGGAATGACTGTGTGAAAGAGGATATGCGTAGGAATGGGGTAGATTTGGGTATGACGGCTGATAGAGATGTATGGAGGAGTAGTACATATTGTGCAGACCCTCAATAGGGATAAGGGCAGGTTGATGATGATGACCATAGATTATTATTTTATTATTAAACTAGCTGTCGCCCACGATTATGTCCGCGCGAAATTAAAACACTTAATAGTCTACGTGCTCTTTCATGCTATGTTCAACATGCAGCCGCTTTGTTACAACCATTCAAACATTCGTATTTATTTACAGTCAGATATTTAGTAAAGTTCTAAGATTAGGCTAGGTTAGTCGTATGAAGGTCATAGCTATCATAAAGTACAGACGTGGTAGGCCTTGGCCCGGCCTATAGCGTGGGAAGACCTTATTACTATACCATATATGTATGTCTGTATGTCTCGGGAAGTAACAAATTACATATTTAATATAACCAAACAGTTAGTGTATTAGTCTCCGAATATTAAAGTAGTTAAGTGGCTTAATAAAAAACTGAAAGCGTGTGTTTAAAATGCGTAAGTTTAGATTCATGAATGTTAAAAGGTATCTCCCGACCGGCTGCATGGATCTCGCTGTAATGAAGTATAGATGTAGAACATAGTCTGGAAATACACATAGGCTATTAATTTTTCGTAATTCCATGCGAACGGATTCGCGGACAGCTAGTCTATATAATTAAATTGGTGTGTCTGTATGTTATATTAATCTTACTAATATTATAAATGCGAATGTTTTGATGTTTGTTAAAATGTGTCTCCAGAAAGACTGTATTGGTCTCGATGAAATATAGCTTATATCTAGAACATAGCCTTGAAGAACACAAAGGCTATTATTTAAAGTTTTTTGTAACAACCGCGAACGTAGTCACGGGCGACAGCTAGTACATTCTTACATCAATATGAACAAATTACATTGGAATCCTGTCAGTTGAAAATAAAACACAACGCACTAACCGTCTTGAGCAGTTAGAGGTCAACACTGTGACCTTTAGTACCCAATACGGCGAATAATGGGCCATTGCACTCCTGGAAAACATTACCCTTCTGTCAGTCGGGTAAAAAATACACAGTTATCGTAGCATTGCAATTTACTTAGACGGGCTAAATTGTTAGCCCTTGGCGTTTTTCTTACAGACAGGACGTAAGGTACGTAATTGCGGGCATATTCAATATCTTGGTTGTTTTTCGCACACTTTAATGGTTGGGTAAAAGACCTAGGATAGCGTTCACCTATAGTTTATCTTGTATATACACGATTGATTCTAATAGTGATTTTATCAATTTGATCGTTGTATTTTGATGGTTATGTAAAGGTTCAATAATACTCTTGACCGGTAAGGGTTTACAGAGTTTTATATAGCTAAAATAATATTATTGCATATATTATAAATGCGAATGTTTAGATGGATGGATGTTTGTTTGAAGATATCTCCAGAATGGCTGACCGAATCTCGATGAAATTTGGCATAAATATAAAACAATGGTTCCCAAACTTATTTTGTCTACTGCCTACTTTGGGATAATTTTTTAGCGCCCCCATATTTTCACATATTTAAAAACCATTATAACTTCAAATTAAATTAATTAATTATTGTGAAATATATATGTATATTAACGGAGAATTCTAAAGGAAACTTTTACTATAAACCGCAACTTGACACCTGCAGCGCTCACAAGGGGGCGTTATCGCACACTTTGAGAAACACTGATATAGAACCTAGCACAGGAGTCGCGGGCGACCCATAGTGTCATTATATCGTTTAATTTAAAAGAAACGATACGATTATTAGGTCCCGTCCCACCACTATGATTAAGAGTTTCTGTCCGTTAACGCAGAAAATTCGATGCCAAAAGTGTCAGAGGCGCTGATGCGAATACCAACCAAGACTATAACCCAATAAATATATTATGTTTTTACAGAACTAGTTGACCCCGGGCCAAATATGTTTATCGGACTATACTATAGTCATAGGAGTTTGTTATATAAGTGTATCAAAAGGAGACAGTTTATTCAATTCTAATTTAGTGATGTAACTAAATTGGTATTTAGTTCATTATGTCGTGTACCATAAAGGTTATTATTGCTTGAGGCGATTAACATATAATAGCTAATGGTCAACACAGCGTCAGTGTTGAAAATGTTAAGTAATTCCTTAATGGTCGCTAAGTTGACTTAAGTTAACTGTTCCCTGCCATCTGCCAACTTAATGCAACTTTCGTAATTCCTTTTAAGTTTTGTGAGTTTTCAAGAAATAGAATTTGATTTGAATAACATATTGAGGTTAATTTGATGATAAATGGCTAATTAAGATAGACGATTTAAATAAAAAGATGTAACAGTTAATTATTTCCGTCATCATCATTATCAGCTCATAAATGTCTTCACTGAGGGGCTCGGAGTCTACCCTAAGTTAAGGGTGACTAGACCATAGTCAACCATGCTGGCCAAGTGCGGGTTGACTTCACATATCTTTGAATAACCAGATATGTGCAGCATCACGATGTTTTCCTTCACCGTAAGAACATAGGATAAATGTACATATGAAATTCGAAAATCTAGAAACATATTGGTAAATGACGGAGACCGAAAATATTAATTATAATATTTTAACCTTTTTTTTTAATTTATTTGACTATAGTATCGTGAATAATAACAATGAACTCCACGAAAAGTCAGTTATTATTGTAATTCAACAATAATCGTTACAAAATGTCAAACGTAGTTGAACTTCAAGCGAACCGATAGAAAAAAAAAACAGAAATAGTTCTAGCTTTTATCGTTGGCACTTTTCGATATAACAAAAGAGCATCACTTACCATCATAGGAGTCCGGAATGTACAGCGGCTTCCCGACCAGTTTGCCCTTCTTCCCCGCGAGAGGCACCGCCTCCACACGCCTGTGCGCCTCCAGCACACGATACAGCAGCACCGGCCGATCTTCCCCTTCAATCTTCACAACACGAGGCAACGAAAACTTATCCACAAACTCTTTCAACGTCATCACATCACTACTCTCATCCTCCAACTCTATAGACCCGTTCCGACGACCAAGGAGAAAGTTGTCCGACCATTCCGCGTTCGGTCTTCTCTCCAAATAGTCAGGTCTTCTCTCGCTACTTCTAGGCTTGTATCTCGGCGGTCGGTCTCGCCGGACTAACGCCTCGTTCGCTTCTGCTAGCCATCTGGTTACCAGGCGTTCCCTTTCGACGTCCAAGTATCTAGGCTTGGAAGCATCGCAGGCGAAGCGCGCTGCATCGAAGCAATACTGCGGCGGCGGCGGCCGGACCCGGGGCGGGTAGAAACGCGGTGGGTACGGGGGGTGCGGTGGATGCGGGGGGTGCGGCGCGTAGGCCGGCGGCGTCCTGGGCCCGGAGCCCTCGACTGACGCCGTTCTAAACATCTTTTCAGGCCATTGATACTAATTCCGCCACCTGGAACAAAGATATAAGATTTTATCACTCGATGTATGCCGTCAATTAAAAAAATCAAACATAATAATTCCTACATTCTTATACTTCAGTCGTAAATAAAAATCTTTTGTTTTTTTAAGATCATAATATGCTTTAACTACCTGTCACCCGCAACTCATAGAAGAAAAAAAAGTAATTAGTAGCCTATGTGTTCTTCCAGACTATGTTCTACATCTATGCCAAAATTCAACGAGATCCATACAGCCATTCAGGAGATACCTTATAACAAACATCAATCTAAACATTCGCATTTATAATATTAGTAATATGTAAGTGATAAGTTTTGAAATATAAGTAAATGATTAACATAAGTATATCCTAATCTAATCAAGATAATACATAAACGTCTATGTATTTCAAATGATAACAAATCCTGGTCACCGTCTGCCGCGCGTCTACAAAGAACAGAATAATTTGAATAAATAGCGGCCTTTGTTATGCGAATAAAATAATAAAGTATTATTACGGTACTTGCTAATAACATAACTTTGACTCGATGTCACATAAACTTACCAAAATAGATAGCTCTGTTTATAAATGTATTATTAATTCTAGTCACGCGTAAAAAGAAAAAAAAAGAAAAATAATATGTTCTTTAAGATGGATCTACGATAGACGAACCAAGCACGAGCGGAGCACAAGCGGAGTCGTTCTCGGTTTCGTCGTTCGCGTCAAGTGTGGACGTGCAACGAACTTACAACGATCACTGTCCTCGAACGTAATTTTCCGTAGTGAGCTCGCGGCTCTTGGCGAATATGGAATATGGACGAAGCATCTTCGCTTCACGTTTCCATGATGTTCGACTCGAGCGACCGACGACTGTCACTAAACACGTCCACGTCAAAAAACCGACAACAGGAGGAACGCAGCCGAGCACGAACGAAATGCTCGCAGCGCGCTCGTTCGAGGCTTGTAAGTCGGTCCACACTATACGTATTGTGTTCGACTCGTGCACGGTTCGTCTAGCGTAAACCCGTCTTTAGATTTTTATTAATTTACTCTTGGAGTTAAATTTTTTGTCTAAGTGCATGCTAGACTTGGAGTAATCGATTGCTAAAACTTGAAATCTCACTAATATTATAAATGCGAATGTTTAGATGGATGTTTGTTAGAAGTTATCTACAGAATGGATGGATGGATATCGCAGAAATTCGGCATAAATGTAAAACATTGTACGCTGCTAATTAAGTTTTTTTCAATCCCGCGTGGTCAATCGCAGGTGCACAGCTTGTAATTTGTGTAAAATGTAAACTTTCACTTGCAAGTCAAAGCATTTTTTATTTCTATTGCTGTTGCAGCTTAATGTTTTATAACTAACCGTGGGTTTCTACGACCAAAATCTCTATATAAAATATATCGTCATCCCTGTTTATCATTGGCAAAACAGAGATAACAATATTAAACGAAGGTTTTGGTGTCAGAAAGCCACGGTAAATAAATAACAGTCGTAGTATATCTTAATCACAGTAAATTAATTCCTTACGTCCTACACAATCTGCATACAAGTTTTCTAACAGCTATGATTCGTATCTGCGTGTGAATATTTGTTAGATTATATTACAATTGTGTGATACAAACGGACAAACAGTTTTGTATATATATTAGTAAATATCAGACAATGTATAAATACTAAAACACAATTTAATTCTTTGTTCGTTTACACAAATATTACTAACTTAAATAAAGAATCTGAATTTTATTCCTTTAGAGAAATTCACCATTAGAATGTTATATATTATAATAGAGGATAAAAGCGACTCCGTAGGTTCGGAATTTAAAAAAAACCTTAATTAGTAGCCTATGTGTTCTTCCAGATTATGTTCTACATCTATGCCAAATTTCAGCAAGATATGGATCTTGTATGGACAGCCGTTCCGGGGATAAATTCAAACAAACATCCATCTAAACATTCGCATTTATAATCTACACTTATTCGTTTATTAATCTTATTCTTAATATCATCATCATAAAAAAAATATAAATCATTTCATCTAAAAAATTATACAAAATATATTATATTAAAAGTAGAACACCACCGGCTGCGGAGTCCCATGACTCAAACAACCAGTGGTCAGGCCTGCAGAGACAGGAACCTTCTCACGATGCGTGCGGTTTCTAGGATAACTGCCTTTTGTATCGGGCCCTTACAGCTGTTTAGCGAGAGCTTCTTGAGATGTTGGTCGAAACTCTTCGCTATCAGTCCATTCACCGATACGACTATCGGAAAAATGGTAGTCAATTTCATAATATTAGTAACATTTAATTTCGCACATAAAAAGCAACAATCAATCGTCTTCGTTCGACATAACCAAAATTAAAATGTCACATTTTTTTACACAACACGAAATTCGTAGTAAAATGTATTACCAACATTACAACATCAAAATCATCCTATTCTAAGAAGTAGAACAATCAAGTTATGAATGCAAAAAGTACAAGTTCATTAACTTTAAGTGACTTGTCAATTTTGCCCGACTTGTAGGAGGGTGTTTTTTACTACTTCATTAAGATATGATATAATGATTAAGCCTTTAATTATATAGACCTCGGTTACATTACTCGGAATTAAAAAAAAACATAGAGGATGTCATAATTTGTCTATTAAGACTAGATGTCACACGCGACTCCATCCGCTCGGAATTTAAAAAAAAACACAATTAGAACTGTTTTATCTTTCTTCTTACTAATATTGTAAATGTGAATGCTTAGATGGATGGATGGATGTTAGAAGATATCTATAGAACGGCTGCATGGATCTCGATGAAATTTGGCATAGATGTCGGACATAGTCTAGAAGAAAACATACTACTAATTAAGTTTTGTTAAAAATTCCGCGTGGACAGAATCGCGGGCAACAGCTAGTAATATTATAAATGCGAAAGTTTAGATGGATGTAAGGATGGATATTAGAAGATATCCCCGGTACGGTTCAACGGATCATTGTAAAATTTCTCACAGATGTATAAAGCCTGGAAGAACACGTAGGCTACTAATTAAGTTTTTTTTGTTCCCCGCGGACAATACCGCGGGTAATAACTAGTCGAAAATATCTGAAGTAGATTACACAATCACATATTCCGTTACAAAATTCCAACAATATTGCAACTAATGGAAATGCTATGCAAAACAAGATAAATTAGTTAGCTATTCGTATCTTAAGATGCAACGTTCCGTGTAACGCAGACAAATGATAGCGAAGCAATGTACTAGCAACATCAATCAATGCACATCGTCCATCTGTCTGTCTGTACAGAAACACTTACCAGGAATATCTCCTTATAATAAGCTACTAGCAAAACTCATAAAACTATAAATTAAATTGCTGTATATAATATTTTTAAATAAAGAATAGGATATTGTGACGTCATAGCTAATAAAGATGACAAGATACATTTAAAAAATAATAAAAAAAAAATCAGTTCAAAAACTATAATCTATTTTTTTTTTCAATCTATAATTTTCTAGCGACTTTTATTTGACCTTGGTTATTTTTATTTTAAACTTACTAACTTACTATGCATGTTAGTAAAATTTTTAAAATAATATCAAGATAAAAAACAGCTTTTGAGTACTTTGTAGCCTTCTTTTAACAAATATCATCATCATCAGCTCACACGTCAACACTGAGGGGCTCAACCACGCTAGCCCAGTGCGTTTTGACTTCACACATATTGAATTTCTTCTCAGATATGTGCAGCATCACGATGTTTTTCTTCACCGTAAGAACGTCGGATAAATTTATTTATTTATTTATTTATTTATTCATATGTATCGATATAAACCATTAGTATAGAGCGGGATTCAAACCCAGGACCTGCAGATTACAAGTCAAATACTTAACCCCTGAGCCACCGACGCTCTTTAAAAAGAATAAGTGTAGGAAAAAATGTAGAGAATTTTGTACTAAAATAGTCTTCACACCTTATATTATTGCTTAATATAAATAATTCAGAACACGAAAGAATGTCGTGTGAATAAAAATAATTGATCCTGTACCATTCGCATTCTGTATTCATTTACTTTGACTTTTAAGAGACAGGACCTGTAAAGCGCGGACATCTCTGTTAAGTGAAAAACGAAATTCTAAACATTTGCTTATATACTTTAAGTGAGTTCATTTTTAATCAGTGAAGACTCAAGTTTGTAGACTGACAAAGATATTTAACCCAGTAAACAAAGTAAACTGTGACACCTTGCTTGCGCCCGTCTACCCGCAGAAAAAGGGTCACAAGATCCCTGTTGTACCTGTTATTTTTTATAATATAATTAGGTTTTCAGGCCTCTCTTATTAGTTCAGTTAATGTTTTGCACTATACGAAGTTGTTAGTATGCTATAAAGATGTGCGATTGTCATCTTTGTCTCCCCCAAAGCAAAAAGTGGCAGTATTGTTTTTATATTATAAGGTGGTAAACGAGCGAGCGGTCACCTGAAATCGTCGAAATAGCGAAGTGGCCGTTGCCCATAGACATACGCAATTGCATATGCGTTGACTACCTTTAATCGACGGAGGAGAGGATGCACAGAAAGAAAATATTTTCCCTTCCCATGCATCCTCTCATCCGGAAAGTCCACTTCCACTTCCCATCCTATCCTTATAAGGTAAAGGGTGTGAAGGGAAAAAGGACTAAATTAGGCCTCCGGGACGCACACTCATGAGACGAAACGCGGAGTTGCTTCTTGCTGTTGTATCTTCGTCTTATGTCGCCTGTCTGTATTTTAGTTCACGACACTTAACCTAGTCCGTATGTCTATAGTCAATGATGCGAAGTGCTACTATTGACTGTATCCTAGCTAGATATTTATCTGCGGACATCATTATGCGATTTAAGTTGAAGAAAATAAAATAGGTATTGTTTGAAACCCAAGGAGGTTTTATACAATAATATATTCACATCTGTTCTTTAAATATGTACACTCTTAAGAGAATTATAAAACAATTGAAATCCTTTTGTAAAGGAAA